AAGGAACTATTTTCATCTATATCTGAATGGATGAGATACCACTATTCAGCAAAAAAAAAAAAAAAAAAAAGAACTAACTGTTGACACACAAAACTTGGGTGGATCTCAAGAGCATTAAGCTGAGTAATCTCAAAAGGTCACATACTAAGCAATTCTGTATATAAAATGTTCTCCCAAAATGACAAAACTATAGAGATGGAGAATATATTAGTGGTTTCTAGGCATTAGGGAGAATTTGGCAGGAGGGAGCTGGATGTGGCTTTAAAAGGGTTGCAAAAGAGAAATCTTTGTGATGATGGAATACTTCCGTTCTTGATTTCAGCAGTAGTTATTCAAGTCTGCATATGTGATAAAATAACAGAGAACTAAAGACACACATTGTACCAATGATCACTTTCCTTATTTTGATATTGTATCATGCTCAGGGAGGGTATAATCACTGGGAGAAACTAAGTGAAATAAATATACAGGACCTCTCTATCTTTGTAACCGTACATCTATAATTATTTCAAAATAAAAAAAAAATTGTTTAAACCAAGATGAATTGATTGGGCTCTAAAAAGTGCTCTTATATTTCAGCATAAAGTCCCCTAATAATGGTGGTGGTGGTAGTGGAAATAGCAGAGAGGAGGAGTAGGTATGAAGCAAATATTGGGCTAAGTACTTAATATACAATACATGTATTATTTCATCTGTTCTTTGAAACAACCTTGTGACTATAAATATTATTACTTTTGTTTTACAATAACCTTCCCAAAGGAGCGGGAACTATCGTGGTAGAGGGAGACCCGGGTAAGCAGGGCATTCAATGAATTGGATCAAACAAGCAGGGCACAGGTATGAGGAACTTAGAAGGGACACATTGTGCTGGTAGTAGAATAGAAAAATCTTACTTCAGAGTTTTGTTGTGAATATCATCCCTGGTTAGAAAGGGCTGATTTTGAATCCACCATTCTGAAATGAGGGACCTAGAAAGAAGATTCCCACTGTAACCAGCCTTCTAGTTATCTACCCAGCAAGCCAGAAAAACCTCAGAGTTTTAAAACTCAGATACCAGCATTATCTCTGCAGTGGTAAAAATGTGAATGAACGCATTAACTCTAGGTTTATTTTTATAGAATGATGAGCTAATAGTTAAAGATAATAGATAAAGTTTAAAATAATCTGGACTTCTGAACTTCTTTTTTTTTTTAATTTTATTTTATTTTTTATTCTTATGTTAATCCCCATACATTACATCATTAGTTTTAGATGTAGTGTTCCATGATTCATTTTTTGTGCATAACACCCAGTGCTCCATGCAGAATGTGCCCTCCTCAATACCCACCACCAGGCTAACCCATCCTCCCACCCCCCCTCCCCTCTAGAACCCTCAGTTTGTTTTTCAGAGTCCATCGTCTCTCATGGTTCGTCCACCCCTCCGATTTCCCCTGCTTCATTCTTCCCCTCCTGCTACCTTCTTCTTCTTCTTTTTTTTCCTTAACATATATTGCATTATTTGTTTCAGAGGTACAGATCTGAGATTCAACAGTCTTGCACAATTCACAGCGCTTACCAGAGCACATACCCTTCCCAGTGTCTATCACCCAGGCACCCGACTTCTGAACTTCTAAAAGGGCCAAACTGAATAGTCTCCATCCACTGGCAATGTTGCCAGTGATGTTTCTACAGACCAAGTGCAATCGAACTGCATGCAGAATTATCCTTTCCTCTTCAATAATAAAAATCACACTCGTACATTTCCCAGATGTGACTCCCTCTGCACATCTAGTCAAGGAGTTATCATCCTTGCTCTCTCTCTTGAGAAATGACACTAAGTCACAAAACTTTTGTTTTCAAGGGTTCTGTTAGCCACTTTAAATACCCTTGACATGTGACCAAGAGTCATTTAATTCAGTAAAACCAAACAGTTGAGAATTACAGAGAGAGCTTCTTTTAGCCGGATGCTTCTCATAGATCATGTAATGTTAATGGATTAAAGATCATTGATATGGTAATAAAAAGTTGCATTTTCCAAATGGAAGAGGTCTTATAACATGACTCATTCTAACACTGAGAGAGCAGTGCCCTCTAGTAGTTGATGTAAGAAATATTATCCTCTAAGTGCATTAGATTTAGCAAATGAGGATCCCCCAGTATCTGAGCGACTCTCAGACTCAAATGGGTAATTTGACAATTGGTTTTACCTTTTCTGAGCTATTAAGAACCTACTGAAGTTTTACCTTCAATGTGTACTAAATTTTTAAGTGCCAGCAAAGGTTGGGTTCTAATAGTGCTCTCCTGGGGACCTTACCAATAACTTTTAAAACCTACTTTCTCTGTGAATGTCAAATTTAACAGGCTCCTTTCACTTAAATACAAGGTACAGACCAGAAAAAAACTCCATTCCATACACTTAAGGGCATCTTAGGTACAAGAGATGGTTACAAAATGGCAGAATGTTAAGAAAACCATTAATGGGTCAAGTATTCACAAACTGATCAAGGTTTGACAATTTTGTCCTAGAAAGCACTGCAGCTTAATGTGGAAGCTGATAGATTTGCAGGGTTAAATAACAAAAGAAGTAAATTCAGCAAATTAAGTAAACTAAGGGAAAAGATTTGAATTTATAATTCCATTTTTATTAGTGAAAGATATTCAAAACCACTCATCGCTAGGATACCCACAAGACGATATGCACATAAACAGTATAGTAAAAATGCTTCTGAAACTGGAAGGTGTGTTTTCTGTCTTCTCTGTGGCTGATATCATGCTATTTCAAATCTCGTAAAAGCAATATATAGTTTTTTGACAAATACACCCATGTGTTGTGCACAGTTTGATTTATGTAAACTCATTTCAAATGCAATTGCCGAATTCCTCCTGAACAGATGAAAAATGTCTGCCTAAAGTGATAAAAATGTGTGTGTAGAAAGATACAGTTTTAAGAAGGGATTTTTATATGATACAGATTTCTAACTATTTCACAAAATACTCTTTTAAAAACTTACAGAAATTTGATTTTTTTTTTACATTAATATGCCAATTTTCAGGTGTTTACTTAAGATGAGAATGAGTCTGTTGTGCTACAGAAACCTTTCTGTTTTGCATATTAACATGTATGGGAGTGGTAAACGGGGGAATGACACCAATAGAACATAAATGCTGGCTTTGTTCATGTATTTCACACATGGCAGCAATCAAACACAGAGCCCACTAACTCAGATCACCACAGTATCTGAGGCAAAACTATGTTGCCCACCATTCCCCTCACCTACATTCTTCCTCTTGGCTTAGTTTGACCATGTAACATGGGGGTGGTGATGGCATGGTTCTCTTGAGTCTTTCTGCAGATTTTACTTTGTTTCAAAGTCTTCCCTGTTTTACTTGTTTGCTTGAGTTTAGCAATCTCAACTCTTCCTTCTGTCTTTCGTCAAGCTGTCTTCACACACACACATACATACAACTCACACACACACGTCCTGTATTTTTTGTAGTATTTATTAGGAATTTCACTTGTCTTTTTAATCATGCTAATATATTTATTCAAGGGGTGATCGGGTGCTTTTTTTTTTAGTGTGGTGTTACATAAATATTGAGTAGGTCTGTCCTGACCCTATCTTTCTCATAATCCTGTAATTTTTATTACGTGATTTTGCAGATCATACTAGGAATACATTTATCTCATTACAGCAGAAACATCTGTAACAACTTGCATGTTACTTATTAATTGCACTTATCATTATAGAATTATGCTCTGAACTGTAGACTCCCCTCACGAATCCAAGGCACACAGATCAAGATATCAATTGCCTACTAAACTACTTAATTTCACCTTTGCATAGTAAAACCAGCTCCAGTCATACATTGCATCACCCCTTTAAAAAGTAACCTTCCCACTTTTATTTCTTTCTAGACAATTACTGAAAATATTTGCACAACAAATTACTTAATAAAAATTTGACCTGCTTTCACTGAAGCTTATTTTTGTTTTATTTTTTTATATCACTAGTACCTGGTTTGGTGGCAATTAAGAAATCGACTCCCATTCTCCCTACTCACGTACATACACACTCACTTTCTGTCCTCCTTTAAGTAATTTGTGGTATTTAAATTTCACATTCAACGTGATCTAAAATCTTAAATTCTATTAGGTCAAACTGGGAGTCAGGGATTTTAAATATAGTGAAATTGAGATTCTAAGAGATAAATCCCTACTCAAAAGAGATCCTAGATCACATTAATTTAATTAACTCAGAAGAAAATGAAGATTTTTTTCAGAAAGGCGTCTTTTAAATTCCTTCCAAGAGGATACATATATGTATGTTGTTTTAGGAAAGCAATAATTCTTTAACATTATTTTCATATAACCGCCTGAGTTATAAAATGAATTTTAGAGCACTCATAGTGAGCATGGAATTGAGTTTTCTAAGAGCAAGCCCCAGTTTATCCTGCTTGAGCCAAGCACTGCATTAGGCAACAGTAACAGAAAGCTGGACAAAGCCCTTGTTTTTAAGGAGAAGCTCAGAGGGTGATGATATAGACATTTCAGCATGTTCTCTCATGGAGACATGCACAGAGTGCTAAGGGACAGAGCAGAGGCAGAAACTGTTATCAAAGAGGAAATGCTTTAACCTACATAATCAGAAAAATGCCTTGTGGATTTTCTTGTTTGTCTTCTTATGCTTCCCTGAAATTTTAAAATTTTTGATTCATTTGAATGTGAAATAATTTTTAAGAGTCCCTCAGTAGAGTGATGGAATGTTCTATACCTTGATCTTCATAGTGTGGTATGTCCAGTTCATCAGCTGTACACTTGAAACTGGTGCATTTTACCATATATAAATTATACCTCAATTTTTCATAAACCCATCAAAACATACAGTGCTACTCTTTTTACTTTAGAAAAAATTTAACTTCTTCCCTTTGATGCCCGAGGCAACAATAAATGCATTGTAGAAAGAAAAAGGTCGGGGTTTTTCTTCCATAATAATTATTTTATTTTCTGTATTCTCTTGCAGCTGTGGGTCCGGATTTTTCAAGAACCCTCTTAAAAAGAGTAACTCTTGTCAAAGTGGGAGGTGAAGTTGTCATTGAGTGTAAGCCAAAAGCTTCTCCTAAACCTGTCTACATCTGGAAGAAAGGAAGGGACATATTAAGAGAAAATGAAAGGTACTATCTTGAGATATTTTTAATAGTTGATTAATCTATAATAACTTATTTGTCTGTTATTAATAGTTCTAGAGGGAGGAATTTACTATCTGCTGTTGGTGGACTACATGTTAATCAAAGACCTGAAGTTTTGGAAGAGGGTGGTAAATTAGCTGGTTTCTATAATCCTTCTTGTTATTAAGATTCTCCAAAACCCTCCCTGCAGAGAGAGATTGCATGATCCAGTTGACTGTCAGAGATGCTCAAAGGTGAGCAGCTAGAAAAACCTTCCTTAATTTTAGCCTAAAATTTATTTGCTGATTCACCCACTTTTCTCCACACTACTTCTTTTTGCTTAAACAAAGAAATCCAGTGTGTCTTTGCTAGGACAACTTCTCAAATATTTGGCAATGGCTATTATGTCTCAATAGTTTCTCCTTTTTTTTTTTTTTTGAGGCTAAATATTGCTAATTCCAAAACTCATTCTGCATATAACATAGTTTTGATTATTTTAGTGACATCCTTTTGAAACAACAGTTTTTTTCTTTCTGACATATAAACTCTTGTTTATTTCCTTTTATATGTGAATTACATTTAGAATGCATGCTGTTTATACAGTGTAAATATATATATGGGTTGTTTGGGGTTTTAGGTCAAATTGCACCAAATGGCAGGTATCTATAAGACCTTTTCTTGGCTGTCACCCCTATAAAATATCCCCCATCCCTTTCTGTAATCTACTCAATCTGTTGGAAAATGGTAATTATGCATGAGTCTATGTCACAGCATTTACTAGCTGTATACATAATGATTTTAATTGATGCTAAAGGTCAAGTACTCAAAGATGCAATGTGGAAGCCTGTAAAAATGTATCCGTATCTACCCTTTACACCTGTACACCTTTGGATTTGCATATGCAAATTAGATCCTTGCACTGATGATGTCCTTATTAATTATTTTTGCAAACAAACTTGATGTGGTTTATAGATGGTGTATTTATACACATATTAAATTCATAATATATGTCCCTTCCTGATCTCTGTTATATTAAGGAAGCAGTATATTTCACTGAATATTGGCATGGTGTTCAAATTTGGAGCCATACTTGGAGCTTGAGAGCACAGGTTCTTATTTTGTAGCCTCAGGGTTTATTTCCTATTTTACCTCAGTGTTTCCCAGAAGGTGGTATGTAAGATTACTTTTAATAATTATGTATTTACTTTGTTTATTAAAACACAATTGAAATATAACTAGTATGTACCACATGTAATGCTTAGACTAATGGTACACTATAAATTTTTAATTTAACAATGATATAACAAAAAGTACTTTAAAATAATATAGGTAATAGACATGTCAAAATCCATGAATGAATGAAGTTAGAGTAACATTACTGTAACGAACAACCTGCAGTGATTTAAAACAACAAGTCTCTTTGTAATTCACACTGCATGGGCCTCAGAGGTCTGCGGGTTGCTTTGCTACCCTCAACAGCCAAGGCTGGTAGAGTAGCACCCTCCAGAACATCAGGACTGCAGAAGCGAAAGAGAGTGGCCAGACATGCCACTTAAAGCTTTTGCCCACAAATGAAACATTTCATTTTCACTCATGTTTCATTGGCCAAAACAAGTCACATGTTTCTTCAAAAGTTCACTCCCGCAAGGAAATACGATCTTAGTATGTGTCTAGAAAAAAAGAAAAGAAAAAAGATAACCTAATATTTTGAACAGTATTAACGACTACTTACCACGGCTATAACTTAACCATTGTGACATACTGATTAAATTACCTTTGGGAAAGTGGTATATCAATATCAAGAACTCTATCTAGTAAGTGAATTTCATTGATTGTTTCTACCACTTGACTTACCACAAAACTTGTCTCTCTCCAGTTTTCATTCTTTCTCCTACTGATTTGATTAATAGTGTTCACATATTGCTTCAGCATTCATACGGCACTAAAGATGTATGCAAACTGAGGAAACTCCCATCATTATCCAGGTCTTGCTATTTATCACCTCCACCACCAGAGTCACCAGGCATGACCCAAACTATCAGTATTAGCTCTTCCTTCTCCACATGGATGCTGTGTCCTCGCAGCTCTGCTCCTTCTTTCTACCTCACTTAGACTGTATTAAGCAGACTGATCTGGGTAATTTAAATGAGTCCCAAAGCTGGCCAGGTGTAATATAAAGGGGAATGATGGTGTGCCCCTTCCAAGAGAGGCACCTGCCTCTCAATTCTAGCATTATTGCTGCCATATCCATATGGTGCCTCCTATCTTTTCATTCTTCAAGAGAAGCTAGAAATCTGGGCTTTTATTTGAACTCCTTTAATTTTTAAATGTCAGCAACTCATTTTTGTTTTAATTCTAATGTTATTACAACATGGGTCATACACCCATAGACCAAGTTTACTCTGTGAGTCACTGGATTTTAACTTCTGAGAAAGATATAAACTCAGTTGTACATATCATAATTTCTGAAAAGTGTGAAAAATAGGAAAGATTTTAATATTTTCTCACTGGCAGAGAAGAAATTTTGCCATTTTTCTCCCTTTTTTTCTGGTAAAGGAGAAAGACAATTAAGTGGATAAGTGAGCAAAACAATTCATGAGTGAAAAATTTTAGAACTCCTATTTTAGGAAAAGACTGACATTTTTAGACCAACACAAAAGGCAAACTTCTTTGTGCCCAGTGCTGAGTTATAGTTTCTAATATACTGACTTATTAGCCCTAATTATCTTTTGAGATGTGGAATCTTAAGAATCAAAGAGCAGGGGCGCCTGGGTGGCTCGGATGGTTAAGCGTCTGCCTTCGGCTCAGGTCGTGATCCCGGGGTCCCGGGATCGAGCCCCACATCGGGCTCCCTGCTCGGCGGGAAGCCTGCTTCTCCCTCTCCCACTCCCCCTGCTTGTGTCCCCTCTCT